ATGGCGGCCGGGCAGACGTGATGTCACCACTTGACTGTAATGCGGCAAAAAGGGGGCAGTAACGCTTTTCGAAACATCGGCTTCTTCGTCATACCTGATTGGCCACTGGAAGTGCCCATCTATATAGGAAGCAGGAGGGGCGGGGACAGCTGCAAGGGACAAGTCTCACAGCCCCAACCTGCAGCAATACAAGGGGAGGTGAATTTAATGGAGGAACAATAAAAAAGTATATAATAAATAAAAAGAATAGTAATAATGGATTGCCTGAGGCAAAGAAATAGCGATTGTAAAAGTGAATTAACAATATGTTATAAAAATACGATGTAAAACAATGAGACTAATATATCCAATGGCATGATGTACAAAATGACATTTAAAAATATATATAATACATAAAAGATTATTATGAAATAAATGTTAATGTTTAAAGCCAAATTATAGGACAGTAGTGCCAGAGGTCGCATCTATCAGGGTGTATGCTATATGGATAAGAGGTCAAAATGGACATTTGGTCCTTATGCATAATAATTTTAAAAAAAAATAATTATAAAATAAACACGAGAATTCACCCGTGTAAGCATATACTAGAAATAAAACGTATATGAAAAATAGACAAAAAAAGGAATATATATAAAAAAAATATATACACACACCTGATAAAGGACCCCCAGCATTGGTGTACAAATGATACACAGTCAGTTGCAATACCCTATGGTAGGATTACTTTCCCAACCTGATGAGTGAGAGACAAGAGTTGGGGAAATAAAAGAGGTCCCAGACCCACCCCGATGGAAAGTAAGGGGAATGGGTAAGCAGAATAGGTTATAACCTGAAATATGTGAGGAAATGGTTAATAACGAGACCAATTCCCAAGGGAAAAGATTAATAAAGGTAAATACAAATACTATATAGAAATATATAAAAACATTATTTATGATAGTACAGAACATCTTCGATATCCCAACAGGCATTGGCTGTAATGGGGTCACTCTATCCGTATATTGTATGCTAGTACCAATACCCGTTAAGGATGAGTATACTATTAGTAAGCGAACACACAGTATGCCCACAAAAAGAAGGAGAGGTGGGGGCCGTAAAAAAGACCTTATTAGGGAGTAATGTGGTTAACATGGGGGGGGGGGGAGGCCAGACCGACAAATTGATGGACCAGATAATTGTATTTGTATCTCAATCTCCTCATTTAAACCTCTGAGAGTGAGGGTATCAAGAGTGAATATCCAGTATGTTTCTTGTTGACAAAGCTTTTTAAAATGTTCTGCTTGGGAGAAGGTGTCAGGTATAGCTTCAATCACCCAAACGCGTAGGTCGGAGGAGGATTTGGAGTGGAATTCTGGATGGTGCGGCCCACATATAGTAGCCCACAGGGACAGGACAGGCAGCACACTACATATGTGGATGAGCAATTATAAAATGCTCCAATGGAATAGGTCTTGTCATTAGCTCAGAAGGACCGTTGGCCGTGCTGGACGTGGGCACAGGTGAGACAAAAGTTTTTTACAGCGATACCTACTAATGGAATTAAATCCACAAGTGGTGCTGATGGATTTTTGGGATGGGATCTTGCTCAGTGCAATCTTGTTTTTAATGTTGGAGGCTCTTCTGTACACAAATTTTGGGGCAGGTGGCATAACTGATTTAAGGTGTGGATTTTGATGTAGGATGGGCCAGTGTTTTTTGATAATGAACTCCATCTTGGAGTGATTGGAGTGGTATTGTGTGATGAATCGGATATGGTTTGGTTCAGATTGGCTTTGCTTGGGTAAGGGAATCAAATCAGATAGATAAGTGAGATAGGCTTTCTCAACAATATCCACAGGGTAACCTTTTTCAGCAAATGTTTGTTTGAGGATAAGTCTTTGGGTTTTATAGCCTTCTAATGAGGTACAGTTGTGGCGCAATCTGCAGAACTGCCCTTTGGGTATATTCTTAAGCCATCTAGGGTGGTGGCAGCTGGTGTAGTGTAGAAAAGATTTTCCAGCTGTTGGTTTCGTGTAATTTCTCGATATGATCACAGAGCCAGAATGGCTTAGTTCCAAATCTAGAAAAAAAAAAAAAAAAAAACTTATGGACCCTGGGTCTGCTACATGAGTGAAAGAAAGGCCTAATGGATTAGCATTGCAATGGGCAACAAAAGGTTGAACGGATGCAACCGGACTGTCCCAGATGATAAGAATATTGTCAATGTAACGACCAAAAAAGACTACATGGGCAGCATACGGGTTGTTTTTCCAAATGAGTTTGTCCAACCACAGGCACATAGTTAGGTTGGCATAACTTGGAGCAAAGTTAGCCCCCATAGCTGTACCTGTTTTTTGTAAGTAGAAGGTATCATCAAATTGAAAGTAGTTGTGGTGGAGACAGAATCTAGTGGATATGAGAATGAAGTTGCAATGTTTAGAGTGAAGGCATGGATCTTGATATAGAAAATGTATGACCGCTTCTAAGCCTACCTCATGGGGTATTGAGGTATACAGGGAGCACACATCAAAGGACACCCATGTGTAGGTGGATTCCCAGGTGTAAGGGCGTAGTTGTCCAATAGGTGGACGCCTTCTCAGATGTAAGATGGAAGCGATTGTGCCAGAGGTTGGAGGAAACTATCAATATATAGGGAATAGCTGGTAGTGATGCTTTCCATTGCTGCAACTATTGGGCAACCTGGGGAATGATTAAGATCCTTATGAACCTTGGGGAAATGGTAAAAATAAGGTGTTTTATAGACCTCTCTGTGAAAAAAAAAAAAAGGCTTCAGATTTGGATAATATCTCCTCCTGGGTAGCAGCTTTTATAATGGAGTTGGACTCTGATAAAAATGGAAAGGGGATCACTGGTCAATATTGTGTGAATGTTTTAGTGTCAGATAGTAGACGAGTAGCTGTAGTAAGATAATAAATTCTATTTTGGATGACTATACCACTGTCTTTATCAGCCATTTTGATAATGATGTTATGATTATTGGTAAGAGAATTTAGAGCTTGGATTCTAGGTGAATGAAATTCGATTTGGGCCTATTTTTTCTTGGAACACATGGCAGTGAGTTCAGTGTGAACCATTTGGAAAAAAGTCTCTATGTATGGGCCTTTGTTGTGAGTGGGATTGAAGACAGATTTGGGTTTGAGCAACATATGTCGTATATGGGGAGATCCTGTCAGGTGTTGAGACCAAGATGGAGTATCACTGCATTCTCCATCGTCCCAGAGTTCCATTAGCTTGGTTTCCATCACAGCCGCTGGACGCTACCAGCGTGGAACCGGGAGACCAGGCTCCCGCAGCAGCCCTGGCTTCTAGATGACACTCCACCCTCTCCATCAGCTTCCGGCACCTCTGAAAAATGACGTCCATCCTGAGATACATGCCTTTTCTCTACTGTTATCTAGTGAGTTACCTCAGTTACCTTGCTCAATAAAATAACCTTCTAATACTGCACTTAGTTTGGCGCCCCTCTCTCCTTTTCTTCTCCATGCACAGAATCCAGCTTTACTCTAAGGGTGCTACCTCCTGATTTTGTTGATTACACTATACTCCTCATTGAAAAACTGCATAATACGGACTACTCCCTTATAATTTTGGACTTTAAATTCTTCCTTTTCTCTCCAGCGCCAATTTCTTAAATTTTTGTTTTAATAGAATCCTCTGAACCTGTCTTGTGGAAGTACTGCCACAACTACTGTCTGGGACAAGAGATAGTTTGTGGCATTCTGCAAATTTGACCTTCCTTGGGCAGATTTTGGTTGATTTGAGAAAAGATAGCAGGGAGTGGGTAGAGTTTTAACAATTTTATACCCCCACTAAAACCACGGATTAAAGCCACAGGTCTAGAAGGTCTGTGACCCAGAGATAGGAAAACTGTGACAGGCGTCCCCCCACTCTAAGGATAGAGAGTGCCTCTTCATTGGGATTTAAGGGAGGACTTGGTGGTCTTTGCAGGCCAGGTTTTGTGCCGAAAAGAAGGGCACAAACATAGGCTTAGAAGTTGAAATCTGGGTATAGCATTGAGGTATTCTGCATTTTAAAGTAATAGAGGCTCCTGAGGAGGGGAGTGATTGCCCACACAGGATGCAGTAGCCAAAGAAACATTACAGGCATGGCCACAGAATGGGGTGGGGCCCGGGTACTGCTCCCAAGATTTTACGGAAGTGACACCAGTCATGATGTACTACTTCTATTGTTGTATTGGAAGAAAATGAAGAGCTGAGGTGCTCACTGAAGAATCTGAGGGGTAGGGTTTTAGGGAGCATGTCCAGGAGATGTGTTCTCAAAAGCTTGCCAGTATCCAAGTAGCTGAAAAGTACCAGCCTATAACCTTGTGCCTTGTACTGCACAAATAAAATATCCTAGTTTCCATAATTGTACCAGGTCTGTAACAGAGAAAGTGCTGAAATCAAAAAGTCTGCATAACAGTCAGATAATTAGCACTTTTCATGTGGTCAGCAATGGCAGCCCTTTTATTGTGGAAGGTTTCATTTAAATATTAGGATCTATATTTTAACTACTTGCCAACCGCAGATAGCCGAATGATGGCTACACTGCGGCCGGCCAGTGATGGGAGGGCGTCATATGATGTTCTCCCAGAACGCGCACTCCTGCGCATGCCCGGGGGCACGCACCCGGCGATCTCTGTAATCGCTGTGTCCTACAGACACAGCTGATCACGTGATGTGGTAAAAGGCCAATCTCAGCGGCCTTTTACCACGTGATCAGCCGTGTCCAATGACACACTGATCACCGGGAAATGCAATTGCCCACCCACCTGTGCCCACCAGTGCCTCCCACCAGTGCCCATCAATGTCCTACAGACACAGCTGATCACGTGATGTGGTAAAAGGCCAATCACAGCGGGCTTTTACCACGTGATCAGCCGTGTCCAATGACACGCTGATCACCGGGAAATGCAATTGCCAGTTTTCTGCTGCACTTTCCTCACACTGTCAGAGTGCAAGGAAAGTACTGCTGAGAACCGGCAGGTGTCAGAGCAAGGATCGGCACCAATCATCAGGGCACTGATCATCAGTGCCCTGATGATCGGTGCCCAGCAGTGCCACCCACCAGTGCCCAGCAGTGTCGCCCATCAGTGCCACCTACCTGTGCCCAGCAGTGCCACCCACCTGTACCCACCCACCTGTGCCCACCAGTGCCATCCACCAGTGCCCATCAATGCAGTGATGCCAGTCAGTGCCACCAGTCAGTGCCCAGCAGTTGCGCCAGTCAATGCCTAGCAGTGTCTTTAGTCAGTGCCACCTATCAGTGCTGTCTATCAGTACCCATCATCAGTGCCGCCTATCAGTGCCGCCTATCCGTGACACCTCATTAGTGCTGCCTATCAGTGCCGCCTATCCGTGACGCCTCATTAGTGCTGCCTATCAGTGCCGCCTATCAGTGCCGCCTATCAGTGCCGCCTATCAGTGCCGCCTATCAGTGCCGCCTCATCAACGCACATCAGTGGAGGAGAAAAATTACCTGTTTAAAAATTTTTATAATAGAAACAAAGAAAAAAACTTTTTTTTTCACATTTTTTGCATTTTTTTGTTTATAGCGCAAAAAGTAAAGCGCTCAGTGGCGATTAAATACCACCAAAAGAAAGCTCTATTTGTGAGAAAAAAATGATAAAAATTTCATATGGGTACAATCTTGCATAGCCGCGCAATTGTCAAAGTGCAACAGCGCTGAAAACTGAAAATTGGCCTGGTAAAGAAGGGGGTATAAGTGCCCGGTAGGCAAGTGGTTAAATATTATTAAATAATTATTTTAAAACATTTAAACTTGAAATAGCAGTGTCAACATTTTAAAGAAAAGTAAAATACCAACAAAATCAGACAAAATACTCTTTGTCTCCTTTGTTGAACCCTGTCCTACCGTATTTAACGACCAAGGTTTACAGCTAAATAGAACATAACATTACATAGATTATACCATTTATATTGCATTTATGGGGCAACAGTAGGACTTTCTAAGTAAACAGAAAAACAGACCAGTGCAATTAATAAATTGGAATGAAGGAGGATTTAGAAAAGATAAGAAACAGAAACAGAAAAAAGAACAAATGCAAATATATGCCGTGATGTTTTGGATGAAAGGGCAAAATTGTTCTGCTACCTTGGCTCTACAGTAATCATCTTTATTTAAATGCATATCATAGCAAAATTAAGACACTTACCAAGAGAACAATGTAACAAATATAAGAAGCGCCACAGAACATAACAAAATAAATAAAATAAGCAGCACCTCTAACCAAAAAAAGTGAAATGGTGTATAAATAAAGAGTGCTCTAATTATTCACAAAAAATGCAAGGATAAATAATAGAAATAACAAATAAAATCCATAAATATAAACAGAAGTCCAGCCACCATAAACAGTGATAATCCAATATCAACTCAATCTTGAAACAAACACCCATGTGCGAATCCGACACCAGATGAAATGAATACACTCACCAGAGCTATATGCTGATTAAATTATAAACCAGCATGATAGCATTTGGCTCTGGGAGCGATGATCTGCAGTATATCCCAGTAGAGGAAACAGCAACCAATAGTGATCCAATTAGCACATATGGAACAGCTAAGCTGCAAACGGTCTCCCAATAACATGGGCAAAGCTCGAGGAATCAGAAGAGATGTGATAGTGCAGTACGTTTAAAACCAGTAAAATTTTATTAGTAAAGTATAACACTCATAAGGAAGGTGTATGGCCGACCACAGCAATGACAGCCTCTATAATAACACATCCACGAGGGGAAAAACCAAGGGATGAACCTCCTGCACCGCAATCTCACAGCTGACAGCTGGGAGGACCGTCCCGACGTCACGTCCACTAGGCCACGCCCAACGCGTTTCCTTCATTGACGTCTTGAAGACGTCAAGTGATGAAACGTGTTGGGTCACTTGACATCTTCAAGGGGCGCCCCTTGAAGACGTCAAGTGACGAAACGCGTTGGGCGTGGCCTAGTGGACGTGACGGTCCTCCCAGCTGTTGGCTGTGAGATCGCGGTGCAGGAGGTTCGTCCCTTGGTTTTTTTTCCTCGTGGATGTGTGATTATAGAGGCTGTTATTGCTGTGCTCAGCTAGACACTTTCCTTGTGAGTGTTATACTTTATTAATAAAATTTTACTGGTTTTAAAATGTACTGCACCATCATATCTCTTCTGATTCCTTGAGCTTTGCCCATGTTATTGGAAGACCGTTTGCTGCTTAGCTGTCCCATATGTGCTGCCTAGCTGTTCCATATGTGCTGATTGGATCACTATTGGTTGCTGTTCCTCTACTGGGATATCCTGCAGATCCCAGAGCAAAATGCTATCATGCTGGTTTATAATTTAATCAGCATATAGCTCTGGTGAGTGTATTCATTTCATCTGGTGTCGGATTTACACATGGGTGTTTGTTTCAAGATTGACATTAAGTTGATAATGGATTATCAATGGATTATCACTGTTTATGGTGGCTGGACTTCTGTTTATATTTATGGATTTTGTTATTTCTATTATTTATCCTTGCATTTTTTGTGAATAATTAGCGCACTTACCAACAGAAGTATTTAATTACTGAGAACAGTTGTGAGATCAATAATTTTGTCACGGAACTCTGTAATTCATGCTTACAAAACTATTCTCAGACATATTGATACATGTGCAGTGGAGACCTGGGTACTGTTAAAAGTGCGGATTTTCATACTACAAAAATGGCAAAGAAGGATTTGTAAAGAGGAATTTAATAAACAGAATTGAAAAATTAGGATAAATCACAAAATCATACAGATCTAAACACCCAACCATATAGGCAGATACAAGGGACTAGCATGTTAGATGGAGGGAAAGTTTGCTAAGAATAGGGTAATAATGTAGAAGAATTTTGAGGGACATACAGGAGGAACAATGAAATGGAGACAAGGATAGTGATCACATTTGTCAATGTACAAGTGCTGATCACAGGCAGAAAGTACAGATCCAAAGAGTTGTTATGTATCTTGTGATCGCTGTGGACAGAAAACTAACTCTTGCGCTCTATGACCCAACCCGGGGTAGATATATGGAACCAGGACTTGAAAGTTTCTACCACCAGTGCATGTGGGGTTGTGCAGCTCCAAACAAGGCTGGGGAAGCTAGACCAATACTGTGAAGCGAAAACAAACAAAAAACACACAAACCTTGCACATTACCTCAGTAAGCCAAAATTTATTGAATACAGAATAATACTCACAAACAACGAAGTATATTAAGCATGTAAGTCCTCAAGGGGACTAAGGATTAAAGCAGCCTGCACGAGTCCCATTAGAGCTCTGATGAAGAAGGGACGCCCTTTGAAATGCGTAAGCTGTACCCTGAGTGTCCACTCCTATGATGGGACTCACGCAGGCTGCTTTAATCCTTAGTCCCCTTGAGGACTTACATGCTTGATATACTTTGTTGCTTGTGAGTATTATTCTGTATTCAATAAATTTTGGCTTACTGAGGTAATGCGCAAGGTTTGTGCGCTTTTTGATCGCTGTGGACAGCCTTCCCAGAAGAGTTAGAAGAGTTGAAGCTGCTATAGCAGCAAAAGTTGTTCCAACTCAATATTGTGCCCTACTAAGACTGGGATGCCAATAAAGTTCAAGTGATCAAAAGGGACTAACCATACGTGAACACAAGTGTAAGCAATGTCTGAAATGAGATGTGTGTCTGTCATGTACACACAGCTGTTATGAGAGGGGGAGAGCTGGATGCTCATCGCAGCCAGTGTTCTAGGGTACATATCACAGCACTTCCAAAAATAAAATTATTCTTGAAATATGATGTATAATTTACACCCCTTGAAAAGCAAAGGTGCTTGTTGGATTTTGGGCCCCTCTATGCAGCTAGGCAACCATAAATTCTCACACATGTGGTCTCCCCATACCCAAGAGAATAACAGATTGTCTTGGGGTGTTATTATAAATATGTCCATGATGTGTGTGTGAAATATTGTATTACAGTGACAGCTTTGTAAAAAAAATAAACAAACTCCACGGCATTTATAACAATTGAACACACACAAATAAAAAAACGTGACAAAAATGCTCAATAAAAAATATATAAACATTCAAATTCCAGTAATGGACTTATCAAATGTGTTTGCCCTTCTTATTACAGAAAAGGCAGACACAACTTTTGTAAACACAGCCCAGATGAGGGATCCACTTGTGAAGTGCCAGGGATCATTCTCCTCCCCTTTGTGGATTCACACAATCCAGAACAGTATAATGCAAGGCATAAGAAAACGTGTGATAATGGTTTTAAAACACTATTTAAACTATGAAAACCTTCCTACCAGAAAGATGATATTTTGGAGGACTAGAAGGCACCTATTAATCCTCCTATTGGTCTGGTTTTTTTTCTGGACCATTCACTTTAATAAAGACTGATCAGTTATCAGATGAAAAGGTCTATCCAACAGGTAGTATCCGAGGGAACCTAGAGCCCACTTCACAGTTAAGCGTTCTCTCAATGTAGGCATAATTTAATTTGTGGGACTTCAATTTCCTGCTGAAGTAAATAAAGGGTGTTCTTTTCCACTCCAAAACTGGGACATTATAGCTCCCAATCCAATATCAATGCATTGGTCTTTACTACAAAGTCCTTTGAGAAGTCAGGAGAGTACAACACTGAGAGACGACACAAAGCCTGTTTTAAAGACTCAAAAGTCGTTTCCACCTCAGGAAACCACTTAAAGAGATTCTAAAGGTTTATATATTTTTTTTTTTAAATAACAAACATGCTATACTTACCTACTGTGTGCAGTTGTTTTGTACAGAGAAGCCCTGATCCTCCTGTTTGCTGGTCCCCCACAGGCTCTCCTGGCCCCTCCCTCTTGTTGGGTGCCCCCACAGCAATCAGCTTGCAATGGGGGCACCCCCTGCTCTGTGTATTCACACACAGAGACACGGCTTGGCCCTGCCCCCTCTCTCTCCTCATTGGCTGACTGGCTGTTATTGACAGCAGTGGGAGCCAAAGACCTCAGCCAATGAGGAGGCAGAGACCCGGGACAGCCAAATCTGTCATGCACATTAATGGATTGTGATGAGGCTCAGGTAAGTATTGAGGGTGCTGGGTGCACTGCTGCACACAGAAGGTTTTTTACCTTCATGCATAGAATGCATGAAAGTAAAAAAACCTTGAGCCTTTACAACTACTTTAATCAGGACATCATTTGTCAAACTGGTCAGAGGAACAGCATGTGAGGCAAAAAAGAGATTCAAACACCAGTAATAGCCAGAGATCTATAAGAATTATCGAACTTACTTCTTGTCGGTGGGGAGTGGCCAGTTTAAATAACCTCAGCTTTGTTTACCTGGGGATTTAATATATCTCTTCCTTTGATATACCCC